ATATATTGCTGTTTTAACAAATTCAAATATGTATGCTTATTAACAGTATGAGATCAAATAATAAACGTCTGTGCAACCAACACCGTAGTTTTTTTTCTGTTCTCCTTGTGCATGATTTCTATCCATGAACTTTGAAGAGACCTCTCATGCTCACACCTGGGGGTTGGAGCTAACCTAGTCAATAACGGATTACTCACATCTCGACAGTATAAGTATCAATGTGGAATCTGAACTCCATCCACGACGATCATAGCATCACCGCATAGGGGTTTTTACAAGCCAGCAACCTCCTCCCCCGCTGTTACCGATTTTGTAACTGTAAAATACACCTCAGAACGATGTAATGTGCTTTGAGTTGGTCTTTATTGTGGTCATTATTGAGTAAAGCAGAAATAGAAATGTAAGAAAATCCTAAAACAACGAACAAATAAACCCGTGTCAATAACACAGGAGCAAATAGCTTAATAATTATGTGGTATTAAAAATTATCATTGTCATAATCAATAAAACAAAAATTTTACCGTCAATTAGTAAATAAGTCAATAATAAAGGGTTGATCAATTCTTTCTAGTCTGAGTAACAAAATTCAAAAAGGTAAAAAAAAATACTACAAGACAAAGTTGTACTTGACAGATGAACAAATGTATTAATTTGACTGCTCCTAGTTAGGGCATGATATTGTAAATCATACCAAAGAACATAAATAGCAGAAGAATGAGCTCTTCGCGTAGTTTGCATTAAATTTAATGGAAGTCCGCCCTCACTAAAATGGAGGAAAATTATTTCACGGAGTGGCGAATCTAATGAAAACAACGAATCAGATAGTTATCCAACCACTCAAAGATAATATAGCTCCGCCACTCGGATGGAGGAAAATTACTCTCCTGGACGCCCTCATGGTGCGTTCCACTATATCGCGAACTGCTCCATCTTTTGCTATATAATTATTACTTTTAATCATACGCAATTTAGTAGCAATCTTAAAAATACTCCCTGATAGGAGCATGAGTATACTGCAGAAACGAGCGTTTTACAGGTAGGCCTACTGTAGGCCTATAGTTTGTTGATAATGCTACAAGTAGTTCAAAAGGGTCAAAATTACTCTGAACCTAGTCTATTATTGGACAATATGCTATCAGCTATTGGTCATCTTTCAAAACACAGGTTCAATTACAACTTAATAAAACTACATTCACACTGTACTTGGCATGCCTAACACATTCGATTTTACTGAAATGAGCCTTTTTCATTTTGCAGAAAACAAAATCCACTACAACAGCATAGAGTATGCGTGTTGTTAAGAATGTCTACGTTTCGATAGAGTTGCTTTAATCGTCATCAGGAGAATAATATCTACACTGAGTCCAAACAGGGAGTTTGTGAAGCTTGCTGCTAAGTGGTGGGAAATTGAACAATATCTGAGACTGGTATACTAAGAGTGGAATTGAACAAAAGCCAATATTCAGAGTCAGTGTAAGAGTGAGGCGTGGTTAGAAAAGAGTGGCATTGTTTCTAGCTTTGATGAAGAAAATCCAAACCAATGGCACTGTCTCCAGTGCAGTACATTACATAATGTACTGCACTGGAGTACATAATGTACTCCAGTGCAGTACATTATGTAATGCTTTGGTTTAAGTCCGGTTAAACAAGGAAAGCCAGATTTTGCTGATAGCAAATCCAATATCTTGGTGTATGTCATGTTTGTATTACATTTTCTCTGTCTGGAATGTCAACTTTGAGTTTGGCTTCACCCCACAGGCACGATGTTGTTGTTTGTGGGAGTGGATCATTAGATGACCTTTGTTGTTCCTCTTTCCTAGCATGACATTGCTGTTTTTTCAGATGTTACTTGAGTGTAGTTCGAAAATGACGTCCTGTTTCACCTACGTAAATCTGATATACTGCATGTTGGTTGTGTGCTGGTGATTTGGTGTTTGAGGAGCCCAAGATAATTTGTTGGGTGCACTGTAAAATACCTAAATAGTAAGATGCGTTGAATACAACGTGAAAGCTGCCCTACATAATTATGGTAAATATACAGACTTTCTTGTAATAGATGTCCCTTGTGTAACAACCATTTAAATATAAGGCTTCACTCATGGGCATCGATCGGTGGGTGGGGGAGGGGGGGACATCATATCAATTGTCTCTCCCCCCACCCCCCACTTTTCACCATTCTTCTATAGTTAAAACCCCACTTTTCAAAGCGAGTGGGAAGAACAACAACAATTACGAATGCCTGTCATGAATTTTGTCTCTTCATTGTTCCAAGTGCGGTGCGTATTTCCAGACCAATATTAAGTAAAAACGCAATTATTTGTACATTTCGTAACCATCTCAGTAACCTCTCCATCGATTTTATGGGTGCAACGGTTATCAGAGGCTAAATCTATTAAACCATTATTTTATACAGCCTTTGACACGGATAGGTTTGTCTATTTCAACTTGAAATATGTTTGTGAAATAAAAAATGCTAACTGATGTTTTGTGTGCATCCAATCTCTTTAGTCCTGATTGATCGTAAGTTAGACGGCAGTATTTCCACTCACAATAGTTTAGTCGCAATACTACTTGCACAAAAGTGAAATTCAAAAAGAGGAGAAAAGGAAAACTCTCTTGATCGATTTTAAATGTACAGTACAAGGAGACTATATTTAACCTTAATTATTTTGCATTCTAAAAACTACAATTCGATTCGTGAAAATTGACCAAAAAAAATGAAAAGTTATAGCAAATGAAAATTTACGATTCATGTTCTTATATAACATTAAACTGTGATTTTGACAATGCTGGACTAAGGTGCACAAAATGAAAATTTGAGTAAATATAGGCCTACAGAAATTTATTTTTTTCTGCAAAGTGAGTCTCATGAACCACGGGACACCATCGGATTTTGAAAATACTGTACATGCGAAGAGGGGTTCTCAACTGGCGGCCTTCGGTCATCTCCGGTCCTCGAGAACAAGCCAAAAATAATAGTTTCCGTTAGGCTTGGATTTAGATTTCTAGATTTCATTCTGTTTTGCCGACTAGGTCTATGCTTTGCCCACAAATTGTAGCGATTTAATCAATCAAATCAGAAAACTATCGTCGCAAACAGCAAAGAAATATTACCGATGACCCATTGTGTGATATAGGCCTATAACATTTGGACTTTTGCATTACCAAACACAAGGGTAACTTTCTTAGGCCAAGATGTCCTGTATGAGCGTCTAGCGGCTTACTATTTTCAAACAATTTCTAATTCGTAAAAGGGGACACCCCCTCTCAAACCCTCCCTTGGCTCGCACCTGCGGCGCTCCGATTGCGCTACACTCCACAGTACACCTCTTTTCCTGGGCCTTTAAATGTATTCCATGAACAATTTTGGCCCCTATTGCGATATAGTTGAGAACCACTGGACTATATATAATTGGAGTGACTGTTTTTTCATGAAGGAACGAGGTTTATCATTTCCTTTTCATGGTTCGAATACGTCACAATGTTAGTTTGCACGAAATATGTAAGCGGATATGATTATGATTACCAGAATAAATTGAATAAAATAATGATAAGTATTTAAATGGCAGATTCAAGGGGCCCAGCCGGCCCACCCACCCTAATTTTTTCAAAATTTAAAAGTGGAGAAAAAAGAAAATTATAATCAAATTAAGTCTGAGCAGGGATAAGTTAAATCAAAGACTTTTAATTGTTAGGAGAGGAAATGGCTGGTTTAAGCCCTATGTGCGGTATTGTTATGCAAATGAGCCAGATAAGCACAATCTGCACATGCTCAGAAAAACAAAAATTTCCTTAGC